CCTACACGACGCTCTTCCGATCTCCCCAAAACCCCAAAACCCCGTCTAGCAATATTTTTGAATTTCTATGTGAAGAATAAGATATATTAAGTTGAGTGAATTGGATCCTCTTTAGTTCTAGTAATAAAATAATTATTATAATAAGTATGAAATCTTTAAATATAGGAATCCTTTCTCTAATCTTGCTTTTAGGTGTTGCCTACACTTAAGCCCCAAAGAACAGCGCTAAAATATGCAATAGTAGTCATGACTGCTAGGACTAAGGCTTTAACAAAATATGTCTACCAGATGGATAAGGTAATAAAACATGCCAGCATAGATGTGCTGATCCACAAAATCTCCTTGAGTGCTTCAGTCAACCATTGAAAAGGTTTGGTGATGATATTTGTGACAAGCCTTGCAACGAAAGCGAAGAATGCGAAAAATCTGCAACTTGTAGACTTTGTATTTCAGACGGCAAAGAGAAGACCTGTCAACACAGATGCCTAGCTGATTTACATAAGAATGAGCCTGAATGCCTTGCAATGAAACAAATACAAAATAAAATTTTTGGAGCAAAACAATGCAATGAAGTATGCGAAAACAGTACAGAATGCGATAAGTCTAGCTCTTGTGGTTTATGCATACCTTCTGGCGAGATTAAAATCTGCCAACACAGATGCCTTGCTGAAGAATTTAAGAATGAACCTGAGTGCCTAGCTAGAAATAAGGACACTATGAAGTCATTCGCAACTCCCGTATGTGGAGATTCTTGCTAATCCCATGATTAATGTAAAGGCGCTAACTCATGTGATCTTTGCATTCCTAATTCAAATGGTGAAGGGATCTGCTAACACAGATGTTTGCTCAGTAATAGCGTTGAATGTCTTGTATTCAAGGCTAAATAAGCAATCTTTAGAATGTACTGAAGATGACAACAGCAGCTTCTACTCTAAGCTTAAATCTTTAACCAATCAAATATCTTAAATCCATCAATAATACTTCAATCATATATTATTTGTTTATGATAATCTTTGACGATTGAACAGATTGGGGTTTTGGGGTTTTGGGGTTTTGGGG